GGCACAGTCAAGGTATCCTGGGCTTTAATTAATGACTTAACATCTCTGAAGAAGCAAAGGTGGAGGTGGGTCTCTAGATGGATTTCTGAAATGTAGCTCATCTCTTGGTGAAATACCTGGAGTATCTTCAGTGAGGATGGAAACTTGAATATGCTTAGGTATTTGCTAACCCCTTTCTTCTTCCTCTCCTCCCTCACCTCAATCTCTGTGTTCCTGTCCCCACTGCAGTGCATGGGATTGGGGACCAGGGACTGGTTGGGCAGGAGCCAGGTGCTGTCTTGGGTTGCAGCCAGTTCATCATAGAATCATAGAATCATAATGGTTGGAAAAGACCCTTAAGATCATCAAGTCCAACTGTTAACCTAGCACTGCCAAGTCCACCAATAAACCATGTCCTCAAGCACCACATCTACCTGTCTTTTAAATACCTCCAGGGATAGAGACTCAACCACTTCCCTGAGCAGCCTGTTGAGTGCCTTCCAGTGAAGAAGTTTTTCCTAACATCCAACCTAAACTCCTGGCGCAGCTTGAGGCCGTTTCCTCTTGTCCTATCACTTGTTACTTGGGAGAAGAGACCAACCCCCACCTCACTACAACCTCCTTTCAGGTAGTTGTAGAGAGCAATAAGGTCTCCCCTCAGCCTCCTCTTCTCCAGGCTAAACAAACCCAGCTCCCTCAGCTGCTCCTCAACAGCACTTGTACTCTAGACCCTTCACCAGCTTCATTGCCCTTCTCTGGACACACTCCAGCATCTCGATGTCCTTCTTGTAGTGAGGGGTCCAAAACTGAACACAGTACTCAAGGTGCGGCCTCACCAGTGCCGAGTACAGGGGCACTATCACCTCCCTGGTCCTGCTGGCCACACTATTTCTGATACAAGCCAGGATGCCATTGGCCGCCTTGGCCACCTGAGCACACTGCTGGCTCATGTTCAGGCGGCTGTTGCCCAACACCCCCAGGTCCTTTTCCGCCAGGCAGCTCTACAGCCACTCGTACCCCAGCCTGTAG